AGATATAGTACACCTATATTATAAAGGAGTCTTGTTTGCTTTTTTTTTTTTTGTACATGTCGACTTATATCTCAGAAAAGAGATGCCATAGAATGTTAAAATCGCGCATACACTTCAATATGTTTATACTAATGAAAAGTACAAAATTTAGTTTTTGATTCTTACTGATTAAATAATATAACCCAATAATTAAAAATCAATCGACTTGTGGAGATCTTCACAATTATTTTCCAGTAAGTACTAGTTCTTAAGAACCACCATATTTAAATGTCACATTGGTAAAACTTTTCGAAGTTAACTTTAATTCTTCTTAAGTAAGTACACACACAAAAAACAACGTGGAACTATTCAATTATTCATAAGACGCGCCATATTTAAACATCACACAGACTCCATTGTGAAAATCTTCGAAGGTAAATACAAAATTTGAATTAAATGCTCTTTCGAAAATTATTGTTTTGTAATTTAGTACTGATTGTAAAAAAAACAAAAAAACTTTCTTTATTGGAGACCTGAAACAAATCCTGAAATGTTTTAAAACAAGGGGTACCTGCTTTTAAATACTATTGTAAATGGAAATGGAAAAAAAACAAAACAATTACGCAAAATTTGACATTGTACATACATATTGTTACATTTTAGAGGGTAAAAAAATAACTAATTAAAAGTTATTTTTTTACCCTCTAAAATGTAACAATGTGTGTGTGCAATGTCAAAATTTCGCGTAATTCTGTTTTAATACATTATCACTAACTCAAAAAATGATTTTTTTTAAACGAATACTTTTCTTTTGAATACAAATAAGGAGTCTTTGCTTCTTTTTATTGTTACATTTTTAGAGATCAAAGAAAAAAAAAGAGCAAAATTAAATTAATTTTTGGTATGGGTGACTCATAAACATTGATTTTTTTTTTTTTTTTTTAAACTATTTCTAGAATGAACGAAAACATTTCATTTGAATCAGTCTTCTAAATTTTCCACTTACAATTTTTTTAATTAACTTTTATTAAATCTTTAGAGGGTAAAAGAGAAAATAAAAGAATAAATTTTATCATTGTAGCCCTACCAAAAAAATCCTAAAATGAAAAAATACTAGGCGCTATTACACTTTCACCCTCCTCTTGTAATATTTCACTGCGATGTAATTTTTTTCCCTGAAGAAATAATTTTTCCTGTTTACTACACGTGCCTGTCCTTTTTGCACTGTATACATTCATCACTTCACGTACTTTATTGTTCATTTCATGCCAAGTATTATGGCTGGTGTTCAACGCGTTCCCAATCAACAGGTTTCTGAAGACCTCACTATTTTGAAGATTGAAGCACAGTTTTACAACAGTATTGATAATTGCATTGACTGGTGCCGTAACTATGGTTTGTTGGCAGTCAGTATTGACAGCATTGCTTTGCAATGGCCGTCGTAGGGAACAAGCCTATTCGCGATCAGTGGGCAACAAGATTTGGAGGTGCGCATGTAAAGCTTGGAGGGGGGAGGGGGGGGGTCGAAAGTGTAATAGCGCCGAATCTTGTAATATGCGAATTCTTATCTTCTTTTATCGTTAAAATTAATTTTAAATCTGTGTAAACTCAAACTGTTTTTTAAGACACATACTATTTATAGAAAGAACGAATACTGAAATGTTTCAGTCCACCTCTCAATAAAGACACATTTTTAATTAACTTTTTATCGTTACAATTTTAGAGGGTAAAAGAGAAAATAAATTAAACGCATATATTTTTATCACTGTAACTCGACAGATAAATATAAACTGAATTTTATTGTTTGTCATATGTGGGGGGAAAAAAACTCAAGAAAAACGCCGACATTCTTGAAGTATTTTTTATTTGCTTTCTATTATTACATTCTTATGTTTAAAAGTAACAAAATAAATTATTTTTTTAATCGGTGTAACTCAAAAACTTAAAATATATTTCTGAGAAACGAATAAAGACGACATCATTTTACTTCCAAGAATTCCATTGCTTCCATCAGACACAGAGATCCTCTTCGAAGGGTCCTGTTTCCATGCGATCCCTGTTTTGCTATGACTGTTCATCAAACGCAAGGACAAACCTTTAAGGAAATTGAAATTGACCTGTCCGCCTTATGCTTTTCACATAGACATTTTTATGTTGGAGTATCACGAACAGGAAGTGCAAAAAAACTAAGCATACTTCAAATAATCAGACACGCAATTTAGTTTATTCAGAAGGCCTTTTGGATTAATCACAAACTTTAAATATCTTGACAGTATTAGTTCACAAATTGCATAGAATAAATTGACATGTTTACAAAAATGTTTCTTATGCTGTACACGAGGTTGTAGATCTGGATAATAAATTGTTTTTAGTTTGATAAGGAATTTGATACAATTAATTTTTGCTTGGTCATGGACCGGGTACTTTTGCATGTTTATCTAAAAAAACATAAAATTAAAATGAAAAATTCATGAAAAATGTACACTTAATAAGGATAAAAAAATAGACTTTAATTTTTATATGTAACAAAAATATACTCTCTCTGTTACTTCTCTCTTTCCCCTTTCCTTCTCTCGCTCCCTGGTGTTCCTTTTAATTCGGTCATGGACAGGGTACTTCTGCTAGTAGAAATATATTTAATACAAAATCTCATATGCTTCAATAAATTACTATTGTTATTTAACATTAATATGAACCGCTTGACATTCTCTCTCACCAGTCGTTCAAACATTGATTTTAACTTTTCTACTGTTTCGACTTTAACATTAATTGAAGAAGTTTTCATTGCTTCACAAATAACTTTGCTTGAATATTGTTATTCATTCTCATATATGTCGTTTTTAATCTTGGATAAGTTCTCTATTTGATCAAAATACACAAAAAGTGAGAAACATTTCATTAATTTGCAGGACTTGAAAACATTTTAGCAAATTGGGCAATATTCAGCTTTGCATAAGGTGAAGGAGCATCACCTTGCTGGAATATACACTTTAGCTGAAAGCTTTTTGACTGTGACCTGTACCATTCAATAAATATGTTTTCCCAGAAATCACAGTAATCTTTTTCCTTTATCTTGTTACCACCAACAATTTTCAGGGGATATCAATATCTATCTAAATTTATTATAAGAGAACAGGAAATTGAACTGCGAGGCCAGAGATAGTTTCGCCAAACACCACAAATTGCTACAAAACCAAAACATTGACCTGAAATCTCAAGTCATGTTCTTAAATAGTCTCGTCAGATCGAGACTTTCATATGGATGTCATGTATGGCGTCAAACCCGTTCAGAAATGTCTAAACTGTTAACTGTATGCAATCGTTTTCTAAGATCAATAGTTTAAATCGTTTTGAGCGAGTGACGTCTGAGGAACTTGACCAAGACCATCCTTCTTTGAACATTGTTGACTAGCGCTACAGAATCACAAAGAACTGCACCAAATAAAAGAAACGACATCATTTAAGGACTACCAACAGACGCAACAACTAAAATGGATAGCACACGTAAGTCTAAGAGAAAATAATGACACTCAAGATGTTAACATTTCATACTCTTTCAAATAAAAAGTTAGGAAGTAAATCTCCATCAATACTGGAAGAAGTGATAACAGCTACTGGACTTGATGAACCTATTTTCTTGAAAAATTGTTTTAAGAGAAAGATTTTATAAATTTCAACCGAAAACAGTACTGACTGCTCGGTTAATGAATGCTGAATATTTCGCTGTTGGGAAATAGCTAATATAACTATTACAATAGTTTTAATTCCTAAAATACGAACCCAAAGCATTATTTCATTTTCTTTCCAATTTCTTCTATGTTTTTGCTGTTTGATAATTTCTAACCTCTAACCCTGCAATTTGCTTTACATTAACCTCTAAAATTACTGTTGAGATATCAGTTTTCATGTACTTCTTCACCCACCTGACACGTTTCTTTTTGTAATGTTTACTTAAATGTAGTAATTTGGTTGCTTCCATGTCTTTGTCCAATGTCCTTAATATTTTGTATCTTTTTTTCTGTTGAAATTTGCGACACCAGCTCCTTTGAATATTGTCTTGTTGCCTAATATAGGTTTCTTGCTTATTAATCTTTGCATATTTTATATCTATATCCCTTTATGCAACATTTGTACAGCGATTTTCTTGTTCTTTGATTTTGCTAATTTTTCTCAATTGTTTATCATTATTCTGTCATCTCTTTTTAACCATTACGTAATTTTCAATGATTTATTTACATCGGTTAATATGATTGGTGCGAAAACTCCGAGTAAAAGAATAATTACTATTTCTAAAATTAACAAGAATGCTGGAGTATTGGAGAGTTTTACTGTTTTTTGATTTCCAGTGAAAGCTACCAGATATAACTAGATAGATAATAAAGAGTTAATTTGTAGTTAAATTTAAAAAAAGTGATTTTAATAAAAATATTCAAATTTTGAATATTAAAGGAATGAATTTTAAAGAATTTGGCTCTGAGCCAGATTTCATTAACATTTTGCCATTAACATTTATCCAGGATTTTCTTAAATTCTCGGAAAGCTTTTCTCGGCTTGCTTCAAGAATTATTCAGCACTTTTTTCCGGCATCCATTTTACCTTGAACTTGAAAAATTTTCCATTGATTTCAAATTAGTCCAACGATTTCACTCCTGTTCATTTTTTTTATCTGCAAGAAATTGAACAATAGTAAAAACTTGGTTAATTCATATTGATTATAAATAATTCTGAGACTGCTTTTTTTCCCCTCTTCCCTTCCTACTCACTTTTTTGTTTAATATCCAGTAAGATTTGTGCACTGAGGCGATTTGTAAAAGGTTTGGTTGCTTCTGTTGCTATTGCTAATTACAGACGCATCAAGGGTTTCCTTCACTGATTAAAGCGCAAACTTGATGACATAGAATCTTGTATGCTGCTCCTTTCATTTTGTCACTTCCCTCCACATTTATCAATAACTTTCTGCTTCATTCGGTACATGGAATTCAAAAAGAGAATTTAAATTTAGAAATTGATCTTTCAACTAGGCTTCACTTCCCAGTCTCCTACCTCTCTCTTTTTGTTCCACTCCTTCTCTATCTCTGTTCACGCACATTCTCTCTCTCTCTCTCTCTCTCTCTCTCTCTCTCTCATATACATATATGAGAAGGAGAGATAGTGTGAACATAGAATCAAATGTTGACTATCAGTTTCACGCTTTAATATGATCTTCAGGCCAAGCGCCACTACTGCAGTGTCGATTCTTATGTCCACAGCGTCTATATCTATAAATGCTGTTACCAATAGATGCTTTTAAAACGAAATGGCTCAGTGGAAGTCGTTGCAAATTATCTTCTCCAGTGTCTAAGTTGGAATGGATTCATCCGCTGTCAATGGACGGACAAAGTCGTATTGAAAGTTAAGAACGAAGAAAAAGAAATAATTGTATTAGAAAGCGAAGGAAAGAGGAAGAAAAAAAAGGTGATCAATTAGGGAGGATCTTGTAGAGAAAGAGATATTTTGGTGAAGAAGACAGACAGATGAATAAAAGGGTAGCCGCGATGAAGAAGAATTTGGGAAAGTAGATGAAACGATGAGGATGAAGAAGGAAAATTGAAATTCACCAAGGAAAAGAAGAAAATAAATGTTACCAGAAAAAAAGTCGTTATGAAAACTAGAACTATAAGGAGGGAACGGAAGTGAGGTGAACCAGAAGTTTATATTATATATATATATAGCGGGTGGTGTAACGGATAGTGGCTTGGAAAACCGAATTCGAATTCTATTCTCTCCTCCAATCAGTTATTAGTTAATTGGTTGGGCTCTTTGACTTTGTTTGAAGGACAACGCCGAATTACAAAAAAAAAAAACCCACCCAAAAAAAACCTATGTGCACCAGTTCTCTGTACTATGTACGGATAGTCTGACTGTTCGCTTTTAAGAACTGAGCTGCTGGGATTTTCATATGTCGAAATAGACGGGAGAGACTCTTGGATATGCTAACATATACATTTTAATCTGGCACATTTCTCGGTTGCGTCTCTGTCTTCGGGCAAAGTGCGACTCAGTTGTGGCTTCGCCGGAGGACAGAATTTTTGTACCTGGCCTGGGTGTACCCGCTCAGGTTCTCCACAATAAATCCGACCCTGTGTCACATCACGTCTCAGTAGGCAGACGAGGTAAATAGATATCCATTATACATTTTTCTTGGTAACTTGACCAATTGACTACAGTAAATATCCCGTTCTGTATCTCAAATTTGCTTGTCAATTGTTTGACTATCACCAGTTGGGTATGTCCCTAATAGGTTGGTGAACCGTGCATGTCTCTTCTTGGTCGGGCGTCGAAAGTTTTTTTTTTATTATTTGAGTGGAAATGATACCATATACTATTTTTCTTGGTGAATTCTGAACCGTAAATATATCATTCCATTCTACAAATTTGACTGACTCTCAATGTGATCGTCTGTTTCACAAGTTTCATGCAGTGTTGATTTCTATATTATAAACGCTCTATATCCGATATTGAGCCCTCTTAATTTACAAATATATTGTTTTAAACAAACGCACGTACGCACTCTATCTCTATATATCTATCTATCTATATATATATATATATATATAATCTCTCTCTCTATATCTATCTATCTATCTATATATATATATATATATATATATATATATATAATCTCTCTCTCTCTATCTATCTATATATATATATATATATATATAATCTCTATCTATCTATCTATATATATATAATCTCTCTCTCTCTCTCTCTCTATATATATATATATATATATATATATATATATATATATATATATATATATATATATAATAAATTAAACTTGAAAATAAAGATGTCAGTTTTCTTCAGTAACATTATTATTCAGGATAGGCTTTTTTTAAAAATTTTAGCTTCTTTTCTTCTATGTGTCGTGTCCCTGCTGGATGTGGGGAAATTGTGTCTCTGCACAATGTTTTGTCCTTTGTAGCTCTTAGTAAGATAGGTTATGTGCTGCTTTCCTTTATCCCTCTTGTCTTGTGAGTGTTAAATTTTCCAAACCCGCAAAGTTCGTCGCAAAAAATCACGTAAACAGATCACCGAAAACAATTGCATTAATGAAAACTTGGGAATCCAAAATTTCTGTAATATGAGTTATTGAAAGTTAGAGAGTTGCGTCCCTTTAACTGAAAAAGTCTAACAGTGACACACTGACATTCGCATTTATTATTTCCTTCATCTACTTGATTTGTTATAATTAATGACACACAATCGCATTTTGCAGCCGGCAGAGTAATTATCGGGGATAATACCTGTTCATGTATGCACTCTATCTCTCCTTTTCATTGGTTACCATGGAAATCAATGCTGCTGGAACAAGTATAACTCCCTTGAACCTCGTGTCTTGCGCCTTGATGCAGATGGTGGTACTTACTCTAAATCCCCACGGAAAAAGTGGGGTGTCATGATATCATTCTCGCAGTCACATGTTGTAGTTCCACCTGTTGACTTGAACGCTTTGAGCCAATTTTCTTTCTCGGAGTTACAGTGCTTGGCGGCTAGTGCCACGAGGTCGGTTTGTCTTTTTCATTTTTTTAAATATCAATTTGGAAGTTGCCGGGTTAATGTTCTCCATAGGTCTCAAAGAGAAATGAGAATATTAAAATTTGGCGCATGCTACGTAACATTACGTTCAGTCGTTTTAGATATATTGCCCGTTTTTCTGAAATACCTGATATACTATTTAATTTGTTTGGTAAGAGGAATTTTTATGTCGTATGCCATACAACTTTAATTGCGATAGTTCCATTCCTTAAATTCTTTGGAATTCTCACTCACTTAAACTAAAGATTGAAGCTGCCCCGTGAAGAATGTAAGGTTCTCTTATCACTTGCTTCATCCACTGCAAGGAAAGTTGATTTCCTGTGTCGCGCCAGAAGTTTTTCTCGCCCGAGGCCATCCTTCAAATTTATAAATCAGCCATTCTCCCTTGCAGGGAATACTGCTGCCATATATGGTCTGCTTCCCCCGCTGTTCGTCTTAAGGTCCTCGACAAAATCCAGAGACGGATATGCAACGTAATTGACCCTGATCTGGCGTCTCCTCTACAGTCGCTCTCTCACAGACGTGTCGTCGACTCCCTCTGTCTTTTCTACAAATACTATCATGGCAACTTCTCCAACGAGCTACTTTCGCTAGTTGCCAGACTGCATGAATTTAAACATGCAACTAGGCTGGCACCTCAATCCCACCCTTTCACTGTCGAAAAAGTTTAATATAGCCGTCTCTTCTACTCCAATAGCTTCATGTTTCGCACCTCACGTCTGTGGAATTCTCTTCCTATTGTTTCCCTGATAGCTATAATCTCCAACTATTCAAATGAAATGTCAATCGACATCTCCAGATGCCCTGATCTATTCCCTGTCCTTCTCTTCATCCTTTCCTCCATCACGCCTCTTTACTCTCGCTCCCACTCTCTGTAACCCCTTGCGTGCTAGTGGCATCCCGTCTTGCTTGGGGTAAAATGCTTAGAAAAAAAGAAGTAGTTTAAAGAAAAAATAAGATGTCTAAAATCTGTTAATATCTACGAGATTTAATGATTTGTTAAAAATACAGAAGCCATTATTATGGAAAAATATTTAGGGCAGCTATATGAGATAAGGATTTTGCAAAATACAATAACCTTATTATTCATCAATGAGGAAGTCTTTTATGAAGAAATGACAGCAGAGTGTATCTTTTGAAACATTTCTTTTTTCTTTTATAAATGGTAATTTTATTATACATTGATTTGCTCGAACAAATGCCGCCATCTTGGTAAATATTTTGGCTAAAAGAAGTGGTTAAGTGACTCTGGTTACTTGATAGTAGTGAGGTCAATCCCTGGATCGTGTAGTGCAAATATTTAATCTAATCTAGTTCAGTGAAAGAAACCAGTAGCACCACCACAAAAGCAGATCAAGTAGGTAGAATTAACTGGTACGAGATATGCTCTAACGAGGACAACAGAATAAGAACTATTTATTCTCCGTGGGTTTGGTTCAAAATTTCTTGAAGGTTGCAATCTATAACAGACACTTGAAGATCAAACGGTACAATGGCCAGAAGGTAGTGACGATAACAACCAAAATGAAGATCCTCGTCAGCCCCCCCCCAAAAAAAAATCGGTGTATAATGATAATAATTTCTTATCATAAAAATTCAAACAAGGATTAACGATTTTATCTCATCCCATGGTTTGAACCGCATTTATTTGATTAACGCAGACGTTTCCAGCATTTCTTCTCAAAATCTTTAATTCGTATAAATTCAGAACATCATTATTCTGTCATTAAAGTAGTTTGTCTTGTTTTCTGCGAACTTGCTCTACCTTCCAGCTAAATTATGTATTCATTATAAAAGAACTATTGCTATTTGAAATCAGAGGCAATGAATTCTTTGATATGAGATTTGTTCTGAAAGTATTCAGCAACTTTTAATTTATTGAACTGGTTACGCGACCTTGATGTAAACTTGGTAGCCAATCATTCAGAACTGTACTATTCGTGTAACCTCATAGAAGAGTATCTGTATATGGATACAGACGCTTTTGTAGGAGGTTATTTAGTCGGCAGTGATACATTATTGAGTGTGTACTCTGACTTTCGCATTCACAAAGACCGAGTGAAGGTTATCAGTTTCATTTTATTGCTTTTCACCATAAGTATTCAGACCATCGACTTAAGTGAGTAAACAACACAGAAACAAAATCAGAAATAATAACGGAAAAAAACTCGGAAGTATAGATTTTTAAAAATTACCTCTGACCCCAGATGTTTACTCACTGTCGTTGGACCGAGTAGTTGTATTAAAAACCAAGTAAAATTAAGATGAAAGAAATACTGGACAAAAAATAAAATCAATGTTGACAATGCTTCAACTAATAACGAAAAATAAATTTAGACAGTGTTGATTCTACTAATACATTAAAATGTGGAGCAACAATAGCAAAACTAGTGACGAGTGATCAATAATAAAGAGAATGAGTTTAAGGGTTAGATTAGATCTTTTGTAAACCGTAAAAATTCCGGTAACTCAGTTGGTAGAGGAGCTGGCGTACATAGATTGGCTCCTCGGATTAAAAAGAATGAAAGTTCAAATCTTGTCCGTGTCTTATTCTTTATTTCTGAGTTG